GCCATTTTAAGTTTATTTTTGTGTATGGTGTGAGGGAGAGTTCTAACTAACTTCATTGAATTACATGCAGCTGTCCAGTTTTCCCACCACGACTTGCTGAAGAGACAGTCTTTTCTCCATTGTATATTCTTACCTCCTTTGTCGAAGATTAATTGACCAAAAGTCTGTGGGTTTATTTCTGGGCTCTCTATTCTGTTCCATTGATCCATATGTCTGTTTTTATGCCAGTACCATGCTGTGTTGATGACTGTAACTGTGTAGTATTATCTGAAGTCTGGGAGGGTTATTCCTCCAGTTTTGTTCTTTTCCTTCAGTATTGCTTTGGCAATTCTGGGTCTTTTGTGATTCCATGTAAAATTTAGGATTATTTGTTCTTGTTCTGTGAAAAATGTCCTGGGTAATTTGATAGGGATGGCATTAAACCTATAGATTGCTTTTAGGAGTATGGCCAGGTTACCAGTATTGATTTTTCCAGTCCAAGAGCTTAGGATCTCTTTTCATTTCTTTAAGTCAGCTTTAATTTCCTTAATCAGCATTTTGTAGTTCTCCTTGTGTAAGTTTTTCCCCTCCTTGGTCAGATTTTTTTCTAAGCATTTTATTGTTTTTTAATGTGATGTGAGTTCAAAAGGGATTGTTTCTTTACTCTCTCTCTCTCTGATATTTCTTTGTTAGTGGAATGAAGTGCAACATATTTCTGTATGTTAATCTTGTATCCTGTTACCTCGCTGGATTCTTTTATCAGCTTTAGTAGTTTTTGTGTGGAGCTTTTAAGGTTTTCTATATATAGTATCATGTCATCTGCATATAGTGATAATCTTACCTCTTCTCTTCCAATTTGGATCCCTGTTTATTTCTTTTCCTTGTCTGATTGCTGTGGCTAGGACTTCAAAACTATATTGATTTGAAGTGGTGAGAGTGGGCATCCTTGTCTTATTCCAAATTTTAGTGGGAAGGCCTTTGGTTTTTCACCATTGAGTATTATGCTTGCTGTCGGTGTGCCATAAATAGCTTTTATTATGTTATGTTCCCTCTATACCCACTTTGGTAAGAGCTTTCATCATAATTGGGTGTTGAATTTTATAAAATTCTTTTCCTGCATCTATTGAAATGATCATGTGATTTTTTGTTCTTTCTCTTGTAGATACGGTATATATCACATTGATTGATTTACATATGTTGAACCATCCTTATGTCCCTGGGAGGAATCCAACTTGATCGTGGTGTATGATCTTTTTTAGTGTGTTGTTGGATTCTGTTTGGTAATATTTTGTTGAAGATTTTTGCATCTATGCTCATCATTGATACTGGCCTGTAATTTTTTGGGGGAGTAGTGTCTTTGTCTGGTTTTGGTATCAGGGTGATGGTGGCTTCACAGAATGAGTTTGGGGGTATTCCCTCCTTTTTAAAGTTTTGGAAGAGTTTGAGAAGGATCAGTATGAGTTCTTTGTATGTTTGGTGGAATTCTCCAGGGAAGGCATCTGGTCCTGGACTTCTGTTTGAAGGGAGACTTTTTATTGCTGATTCGATTTCATTTCTAGTGATCATTATGTCCAAGTAGTCTACTTCTTCTTGATTAAGTCTTGGTGGAGTGTATGTTTACAGAAGCTTGTCCATTTCTTCTAGGTGGTCCAATTTGTTTCCATATTTTATTTATATATATAAAAGTATATTTATACACACACACATATACATATACACCATATATATCTCTTACAGTTTTTTGTATTTCTGCAGTATTGGGGGTTGTAATTTCTCCATTGTCCTTTCTTATTTTGTTTATTTGTGTCCTCTCTCTTTTCTTCTAGATGAGCCTGGTAAGAGGTTTGTCAGTTTTGTTTACTCTTTCAGAAAACCAGTCTTGGTTTGATTGATTTTTTTCTATTTTTTAATCTCTATTTTATTTATTTCCTCCCTGATCTTTATTATTTCCTTCCTTCTGCTGACTTTAGGTTTTGTTTGTTCTTCTTTTTCTAATTCTTTTAGGTGATACGTTAGGTTGTTTACTTGAGATTGTTCTTACTTTTGAGGAAGGCCTGTATAGCTATGAACTTCCCCTCTTAGGACTTTTGTTTTTGCTGCATCCCATAGATTATGTATGGTTGTGTTTTAATTGTTTGTCTCAAAGTATTTTTTAATTTCTTCTTTTATTTCATTTTTGACTCATTGGTTTTCTTTTTTTTTAATTGAAGTAGTCAATTACAATGTGTCTATCTCTAGTGTACAGCACAATATCCCAGTCATGCACATATATAAATATATTCATTTAAAATTTTTTTCTATTAAAGGTTATTGCAAGATATTGAGCATAGTTCCTTGTGCTATACAAAAGAAACTTTTCTAAAAAATTTGTTTTTATATATAGTGGGTAACATTTGTAAATCTCAAATTCCCAAATTTATCCTGTCCCACCCCCTTTCCCCCTAAGATTGTTTACTAAGTCTACGAGTCTTTCTGTTTTGTAGATGAGTTCATGGTGTCCCTTTTTTTTTTTAAGATACCACATATGAGTGATATCATATGGTATTTTTCTTTTTCTTTCTGGCTTACTTCACTTAGAATGATGATCTCTAGGTCCATGCATGTTGCTGCAAATGGCATGGTTCTATTCTTTTTGATGGCCAAGTAGTATTCCATTATATAAATATGCCACAACTTCTTTACCCAGTCATCTGTCGATGGACATTTAGGTTGTTTCCATGTCTTGGCTATTGTGTATGGTGCTGCTGTGAACATTGGGGTGCAGGTATCTTTTGTTTGTTTGTTTGTTTTAATAGACTTTTTTTTTTTTAGAGCAGTTACAGGTTTACGGCAGAATTGAGCAGAAAATACAGAGTTCCCACATAGCCCTCACTACCCACATATACCCAACATCCCTCATCACTGTGACATATTTGGTGCAATTAGTGAACCAACATGGACACATTATTATCAACAAAATTCCATAGTTTACATTAGGGTTCACTCTTGATGTTGTACATTCTATGGACTTTGACAAATGCATAATGACATGTAGCCACCACTGTAGTATCATACAGAGTAATTTCATCATCCTAAAAATCCTTTGTGCTCCATCTATTCATCCCTCCCTCCCCACTGGAGACCATGATCTTATTATTGTTTCTGTACCTGTGCCTTTTCCAAAATGTCATTTGGTTGGAATTGAACAGTTTGTAGCCTCTTCTGACTGGTTTCTTTCATTTAGTAATATGTCTTTTAAGTTTCTTCCATGTCTTTCATGGCTTGATAGCTCATTTTTTTTCACTGCACATATATTTTTAAATTTACATATATGTACTGTTCATTGTTTCTAAGAACGTTTAGAGCTTTAGCTTTTTAAACTTTCATAGTTATCAAAGGAATAAAGCCAACCACAAAATAAAAATTAATTCAAAAAGATATATACACCTTGCTACATTATTTATAATTGCCAAGATACAGAAGCATCCTAAGTGCACATTAATAGTTGAATGGATAATGAAGATGCAGCATACATATATGTAATGGAATACAACCCACCATAAGAAAGAAGGATACTTTGCCATTTGTGGACCTTTATTCACTTTTTTTTCCACTTCAAAAACCAGAATTTTATAACCTACATTAACATTTCCAATACATCAAAAACAACAAAATACCTAGCAATAACTTAACCAAGAAGGTTACCTATATTCTGAAAACCAAAATGACACAAAGAAATGGAAAGATTTCTTGTGCTTTTGGATTGGAAGAATCAACACTATTAAAATGGCCACACTACCCAAAGCAATCCACAGATCCAGCGCAACTCCCATCAAAATACTCACGACATTCCTCACAGAACTAGAACAAACAATTCCAAAGTTTATAAGGACCACAAAAGACCCCAGACAGCCAAAGCAATCTTTTGTAGGTCTTTTTTTTTCTTTCCTTTCTTTCTTCTTTTTGTTCTCTTTTCTTATGGTTTGATGACTAGAGAAGGTCCTTTAAGATCTGTTGTAAAGCTGGTTTGGTGGTGCTGAAATCTTTTAGCTTTTGTTTATCTGTGAAGTTTTTGATTTCTCCATCAAGTCTGAACAAGAGCTTTGCGGGATAAAGTATTCTTGGTTGTAAGTTTTCCCCTTGCATCACTTTAAATATATTGTGCCACTCCCTTCTGGCCTGTAGAGTTTCTGCTGAAAAAGCAGCTGATAACCTTATGGGAGTTCCCTTGTATGTTATTTGTTGCTTTTTTCTTGCTGATTATAATATTTTCTCCTTATCCTTAATTTTTGTCAATTTGATGACTATATGCCTTGGTGTGTTCTTTGGGTTGAACCTGTGTGGTACTCTCTGCACTTCCTGGACTTGGGTGACTGTTTCCTTTCCCAGGTTGGGGAAGTTTTCAGTGATTATCTCTCCAGAAATTTTCTCAGCTCCTTTCTCTCTCTCTTCTCTTTCTGGGACTCCTATAATGTGAATATTTGAGCGCTTTATGTTGTTCCAGAGTTCTCTTAAATTATCCTCATTCCTTTTTATTCTTTTTTCTGTTTTCTGAAGTAGCGGTTTCCACTAATCTGTCTTCTAGCTCACTGATCCATTCTTCTGCTTCATTTAGTCTATTCTTGGTTCCTTCATGTGTTACTCATTTCAGTGATTTTGTTCTTCAACTCTGAGTATTCTTTATATTTTCCAACTCTTTGCTAAAGACTTTGCTATGTGCATCTATACTCCTCTTGATTTCTCTGAACATCTTGGCCATCATTACTTTAAACTCTTTCTCAGATAAATTGCTTATCTCCTCATCACTTACTTCTTCTGGGATTTTATCTTGTGCCTTGGGCTAGGAAATATTCCTTTGCCGCCTCATATTGTCTTTCTATGTGTTTGTGGATTCCTTCCACAGGCTTTGGGATTGTAGTTTTCTTATTTCTAGTATCTGCCCCTGGTGGATGAGGATGGACTAGAGGCTTATGCAGGGTTCCTGGCAGGAGGAGCAGGTGCCTGGCCACTGATTGGTGAAGCTTGGTCCTGGGTCTCTGGTGGGTAGGGCCGTGTCTACAGGCCTTTGTGGCTTAGGAAATCTGATGGGTGGGGCTGTGTTCCCTCTCTGTATGTTGTTTGGCCTGAGGCTTCCCTGCAGGCTATTGGGTGGAGCTAGGTCTTGGTGCTAATGATCCAATCAAGATGGCAGCCTCCAGGAAAGCTCATGTAGATTAACACTCCCAGAATGTCCGCCATCAGCTTTTATGTCCCCTGGGTGAGCCACAGCCATCCCCCATGTCCCCAGAAGACCATCCAAATCCAGCAAGCAGGCCTGGCCCAGGTTCCTATGAAGTCACTGCCTCTGGTACTTGGACCTGGCGCACATGAGATTCCATGTATGCTTCCCACACAAATGGAGTCTCTGTTTCCCCCAGTCCCATGGGACTCCTGGCACCAAGACTAACTGGCCTTCAAGACCAGATGTCGTGGGGTCTCCTTCTCTTCCCAGTGCCAGAACCTGAGCTGGGAAGCCTGACGTGGGGCTTAGAGTTCTCGCTCCTGTGGGAGGGCCTCTATGACTTAACTATTCTTCAGCTTGTGGGTTGTCCACCTGGGAGGTATGGGGCCCAATTATATCACAAGCATGCCCCTCCTACCATCCTGCTGTGGTTCCTTTCCCTCTGTATGTTTCCAGTTACAGAAGATCTTTTTTGCTAGGTTCCAGTCTTTTTTTTGGATGGTTGTTTAGCACACAGTTGTGGATTTGTTGTAGTCATGAGGAGAGGTGAGCTAGCGATCCTATCACACCGCCATCTTGACTGGAAGTCTCTATCTTTCTGAATTAGAGTTGCCTGCAGATATCGCCCAGGAGTGGGATTGCTGGATCATATGGTAAGTCTGTTGATTCATGTATGTTGAACCATCCTTGTGATCCTGGAATTAATTCAACGTGATCATGGTATATGATCCTTTTTATGTATTGTTGGATTCAGTTTTCTTATACTTTGTTGAGGATTTTTGCATCTATATTCATCAGATACTGGCCTGTAATTTTCTTTCTCTGTAGTGTTTTGGTTTTGGTCTGGGTTGATGGTGGCTTCATAGAATGACTTGGGGAGTGTTCCCTCCTCTTCAGTCTTTTGGAAGAGTTTGAGAAGGATAGGTCTAAGTTCTTCTTTGTATATTTTGTAGAATTTTCCAGTAAAGCGATCTGATCGTGGAATTTTGTTTGAAGGGAGTTTTTAAATTATAGATTCTATTTCACTTCAAGTGATTGGTCTCTTCAAGTTATCTGTTTCTTCTTGACTTGATTTTGGCAGGCTGTATATTTCTAGAAATGTCCATTTCTTCTAGGTTGTCCAATGTGTTGCCATATAAGTGTTTATACTAATTTCTTATAGTTTTTTTTTGTATTTCTGTGGTGTTGGTTGTAATTTACCTCTTTTATTTCTTATTTTGTTTATTTGGGTCCTATCTCTTTTACTTGGTGAACCTGCTTAGAGGTTTGTTGATTTTGTTTATCCTTTTTAAAAAACCACCTCTTGGTTTTAGTCATCTGTTCTATTTTTTTGTCTCTATTTTATTTATTTCCCCTCTGATCTTTATTATTTCCTTCCTTCTGCTGACTTTGGGTTTTGTTTGTTCTTTTTCTGACTCTTTTAGGTGGTAGGTTATGTTATTTATTTCAGATTTTTCTTGTTTTTTGAGGAAGGCCTCTATATCTCTGAACTTCCCTCTTAGAGCAGCTTTTGCTGCATCCCATAGATATTGTAAGGCTGTGTTTTCATTGCCATTTATCTCGGGGTATTTCCTTATTTCTTCTTTGATTTCATCATTGACTTTTTTTTTAAGTAGTATGTTGTTTAGTCTCCATGTGGTCTTTTTTTCCCTGTTTCTCTTTCTGTGGTTAATTTCTAGTTTCATAATGTTGTGGTCAGAGAAGATGCTTGAAATAATTTTATTTCCTTTAAATTTGTTGAGGCTTGTTGTGTGTCCTAGTATGTTGTCTATCCTAAAGAATGTTCCATGCATACTTGAAAAGAATGTGTATTTTGCTTTTCTTGGATGTAGTGTCCTGTCAATACCAATTTAGTCTAGCTGTTTTATCATGTCATTTAGTATCTTTGTCGCCTTATTGATTTTTGTCTGGAAGATCTGCCTTTTTATCTTGGCATTTGAGTTGTCTAGTTTTCACTGGTTCCTCTTATAGTTTCTAGTTCCTTGTTAGAGTGATCTGCATTTCTATTGATAATCTTTCTTAATTCATTTAGCATTTTTTATTACCTCCTTTTTGAACTTGGGATCTAGTAGACTAGAGAGGTCTGTTTTATTGTTTGCTCTTTCAGGGGATTTTTCTTGTTCTTTTAATTGGGAGTAGTTCCTCTGCCTTTTCATTTTACTTAAATTTCTCTGTCTCTGAATTTAGGAGAAAAAATTACCTACTGTGGTCTTGAAGGTCTGTTTTTGTGTGGGAGTGTCTTTGTGTAGACTGTGTGAGTCCAGTATTTTTGGCATGGATGCTTGCTGTATCTTTCCTCAGAGTGTGCTGGCCTGTTATCCCCTTGATAGGGAGTGTGATTGGTGCTGTGACCAGAGCCTGCTCTAGAAGTTGGGTGGGGCCTCCTCTTTGTTCTGTGGCTGTCAGAACCCTGTCAAGAGTGAGGTTTGATCCCCAGTTGTTGGAGTAGAAGCTCGAGGGTCACATTCATTGAGGCTCTGTTGCGTGTAAGTGTGTGCTCTGTCCTCAGTGAGGTGAGTGTTGAAGCAAGTAAAGCCCATCTGATCACTGTGATACTATGAGTCGCCAGCGCAGGCGTCCTCAGTTTTGCCCAGAAGCAGCCCAAGGTCACGTCCCCTTCTCCATTGTGTTCGTCTGAAACATAGTGTTAGGCTGGTGCTGGAGACTGGGGTGTTGTGGCTGCAGGAATCAAGGTGGTTGGGCTGCTGCCTAGCATCTGGGCTGCCTCTTTGATAGAACTCTTCCAGGGCTGGTCTGCCCCAGATCTGGCTCCAAGCTGCAGTGTGAGGTAGGCAGGCCTGGAGCACTTCCACTGGGAGAGGTACTGCTGTGTACTCCTCCCCAGGCACTGTCCACTGGGGTGAGTCTGTGATGCCACACCACCTGGTGTGTGTGCCAGCATAGTCCACTGATGATGGACCTTCCCTCGGACCTACCCTTCCAGTGGGAACCCTGATAACCAGCTCTGAGGTCAGCCCCATCCCTGCCACATGCAGGCTCACTGAGCCTGCTGCCATTGGAGCCACCAACAGTGGGGCTCATATGGTGGGCCCATGCCCCATGCTGCCTGCTGACATTGGGGCTCCTGTGGGGGACCTGTGCCCTGCCCTCCACATGCTAACAGTGGCAGCCCAGGTCACACTCCAGGCCCCTTGGGCTCTCTCTAGACCAATTCTGCAGCTAGACCAGGTCCTCTCCCATGGTCCATCTGCTGAAGCCCAAGTTTCAGCACCTAGCTGCTGCGCATACTAGCATCATCCTTGCCTGGAGCAGGTTTCTGGGGTGAGACGTGTGGTGATGTGGCAGCCAATATGTGCTGGTTTCTCTCTGCCTTGATTGCTAGCAAGCCAGCATCCACACACTCCTCATGAGCAGAAACCAGGCTCCTTCAACTCCCTATCTGTCCTGGTTGACCTCCCAGCTGGTGAAGGGGGTTTCCAGGGAGAGGGAACCTTTCCTGTCACAGCTCCTTCTCATGGGTGCTGGTCTCTTCCCAGTGCCTTTTTTTCCTTCGTCCTGCCCTGTTGCATGGGGATCTTTCTTGCAGCTTTGGTTGTATAAGAGATCTTATGCCAGTTTTCAGTTGGTTTTCTGTGAGAATTTTTCCACATGTAGATATATTTTTGATGTGTGTATGTGGGGAGGTGAGCTCCATGTGCTTCTACTCCCCATCTTGACCTCCTCCCTCTTGTGTTTGTCAGTAACTGCAGCACTGAATCAGACGAGGTCAGTGCAGAGGTCGGGCAGTTTCTGGCTTACTGAGGATGAGAACTCTGACACTCACCGTGCTTCCCCACCTCCAGGTTCACTGCCTCTTGGAAGTTGCTGGCTCACCTTGGTCTTGCTGTTCTTATTTTTTGATCACAGAACCTTAGTTGTTATGGGAATATCCTCCTCGGTCCTGCAGGACCCCATGTTCTGCAGGGAGCAATCTGGGTAATGCTTACCTTGTCAAATTTGCTTCCAGAAAGAGAAACCAAGGCCAAGGGCAGGCTTCTCTCTAACCCTTTTATTTTGAAAAATGTGCATGGTTCAGCCTCTTCCCACATCACTCATTTCTACTCACACTAGAAACAACAGAAAGACACAAGTCTGAGTTGAAGTTATGTGCTTTTATGGGGAACAAAAATACCCAACAACTGTAACAAAAGCCCTTCAGTCTTGCCAAGTTCTAAACCAGTGATAATGAGGCAGTTTCAATGACTGTCTGGCTGGGGACATTTCTAAAGGGGTCACAGGACAGTTGAAAGACATTGGCCAAAAAGAGAAGTTGCAGAGAGGGTTGACATTTTAAATGAAAGCATATTAGATCTCCCTTCTGGCCCCTCATCCTATCACCCTTTGAAGTTACAGTTTCCTCCCAGTTTGCAAAGATCCTTCCTGAACTTTGCTCGAATGCAGTCTCTTCCAGAAAGCTTTCCTTGGTCGGCATCAACTGCATCGGCCTTCTCAGTAATGTCACACTTTCTCATGCTTTCTCCTATCCCTTTGTGCCTCACATCCATCATGTCTGTGTATGTGCCGTATGATACCCATGTTCGTAGGCATGCCCAGCAGAATGGGCCCTATGTTGATCATCCCAGTATTTCCATCTCCCTCCCCCATTCAGTGCTCAGTATACAGCAGGTGCTCAGCATCAGCAGGTGCTCAGTGAGGGTTTGTTGAGTTGAAGTCAGTTCTACATTTGCCACATGACATCACCAGCCTCTTGAGAGCTACAATTGTCATTTCCACTTCTTCATCCTTCCTCCATGACTTCCATGGTCTGACTCAGGGCATCTCCAGGAAGGAACCTACCCCACCAACCATACCAACTCATGGTTGCAGGTTTGGCTAGAGGAGGTGAGAAGGTTAAGCTTTCACCCCTGTGCCAGAAGGCAAGGAGGCAGGAAAGGCAGCCACTGGGGAAATTAGGATGACCGTGAGTGGTGTTGGTCAGTGCTCCATTTTGGAATCTCACAGGCAGCCATTCTTCCAAAAGTTTCCTCCATGAACCATGGCCAACTTTGCAGTGGGAGCCAAGGACTAGTGGGGGTCTGGTTGGGTTTTTCTGCCAGCCTGGGGACCAGCAGACATAGACCAAGAGCCTTTCTTTAGGACATGGCCTATATTACCTTTGAGGGGGTGTGTGTTAGAGGTTGTCTGTCTAGTTGTTCAGTTGGAGCTGTGGTGGGAACAGTAGCCCTGTGGTGAGTTGTCAGGCACATAGATTGTAGTAAGGCTGAAGAATACAGGCTGTGATAATGGGCCTCTCCTCCAAAGGGGGTGGGATCAGGAGGGTCAGGATAGTGAGGGAGGGTCCCAAGAGGTCCTGCGGCTCCAACTCTGTCTCCTGCTCCCTCCCTCTGGTTCTCCACGTGGGGGCCAGGCAAGGGGCCATTGGAGGTAATGTGTGGGGAAGGGAAGTGCTTGTTGTTTTCCTACCATGAGTCACAGATTTGGATCAGAGGTGAGAATCAAGGGCAGAAGGAGGACTGAAGAGGTGAGAAGCCAAGGCCCTCTCCACTTCTGTTTCCTTCTGTAACGAGTGGATGTGAGGCCCACACTCACAGCTGCGTCACCCCCAGAGAGCACTGAGGTCCTAGTAGGGGCGATGAGAAAATTCTTCACAGGCTCTCAAAGGTGCTCAGTGACTTGGGGAGAACTCTGGATCCTCCCGTGGGAGGGCCCCTCTGGGGCCAATAAGGTATGAGAAGTGCGTGGTCAGCATCCTCCCTGGAGACTGGGGGGAAAGAGCCGAGGAGAAGAGAGACTCCTTCAGGCACCTCTTTTAGGAAAGAGAGTTGGACCTTGGGGAACTCAGGACAGATGTTTCAATATAAAAAGGCTCCCCAGTAAAAGGCTGGGAGTCCCCTCAGATCCCTTCCCCAAACCCATTGCACTTAGAAAAGAGAAAGTAAGGAGCATAAAAAAATCTTGATGACGTGGGCTTGCCTGACGGTACAGAAAGCAAGTCTCATGGCAGGCAGTGAGTCCCGATACACAGGAGAGGATTATACCGAGCTTCAGGATAGAGGTTTTATATCTCTAGCTCTATCTCTAGTTTTATATACATAGATCTTTATACAAATGCATATGTATTTATAGAGCCTCTGCCTAGAACAGCCGGGCTTGCTTCTTTAGTTCATTCCTCTTCCAGAGGGCCAGCCGGTCAAACTCAGAGATGGTCATACCGAAGACTTGGTAGAACTCTTCCTGGGACAGGTGGCGCTGAAAGGAGGTGGGAGGAGACAGAGAGGGAAGAACTTGAGGATGTGAGGTGCAGGAGTGGCCCGGGGGAGGGGAGGCGGCTTACTTACACCCAGAACGGCCGTCTTCTGTTTTCCACGTCTCTTGTGCTGAGAAGCCCGCTGCCACCCCACCCCTAGTTTCATGTATAGTTCTGGCTATTTGACTTCCCATAAACAATATATTGCACATAAACACGCATACACAATATACTCCTTATTTTTGATGGAGCTTTGTTCTTTTAAATTAGCCTCATCATGCTCAGTAACTGGCTGGCGTTGCCTGGGAGGAATGTGCCCTTAGCTGAAAAAATGAAGCAGGTCCTAAGTGGAACTAATGACTGGACATTAGCAGCTCTCTGCACGTTTGTAGCTGAACAGCAAGTTCTTTCTTTCAGACTGATCCAAGTGACATACCTCCATGGCTGTCATACCTTCCACAGACCTTAATTCATCTACACATCCTCATGGCATTGTGCTTGGCTGATGTCAGTGTCCTGCCTCATAGATGTAGTGTGTCACAACCAGAAGTGACCCTGGCACCACCCACCAGTCATTTCCAAGATATGTCCCTGGTTACCCTGGGTCCTTCATCAGGGTGCCTTGTGATCACTGTGGGAGTCAGAAAGGAAGGGGCAGCAGCTCCGGGCCTTCCAGCCCTGCTGCCAAACACGGTGGCTTCGCATGCTTGTGCAAGAGATAAAGGCTTTCAGGTACTATTCAGTTAAAAAAATTGCCCCTACACATTTGCCCCTTCTCTTTCTTCTCTGACCAGTGTACAGTGGTCCTAAATAGGAGGAGGAGGAGGTGGCTTCCTTCACTGCTAGCCCAGCATGCTAGAGCTGGAAGGACTCGCAGAGCTTCCTGGCCTCCTGATCCACTCGCATCCCCTTCCTAAGGCCTCCTCTGCTCAGGTCAGAGGTGGTTGATATGCTTCTCCCAAGAACTGCTGAGCTTCCTCTCTTATGAGCCTGCATTCAATTCCACAAACATCTCCTGACACCTCCCCTAGTCCAGGCTCTGTGGTAGATGGCAGACAACGTGTCACACACAGGAAATGGATGGATACAAAGGAGAGGGTAAGGTGGTAGGTCTGTGCTCTGGACACAGGGCTGCGGGAGCCTGGCGGAAGAGGTGAGCAACAACCTGGGGGAGGCTTTGGGGCACCGGCATCACTAGAATGCAGCCCCGAGCAGTGACCAGGCTGGCAAGGTGGCAAGGGTGTCTGTAGGGAAAGGCACCAGGGTGGAAAGGGCAGGGTGTGCTCCTGGAATCCATGTAACCAGGGACCAGAACTCCACCCAAGTGGGCTTGATGGCTCCAGAGCCCAATGCCACGCCCAGGCCGCCTCTGTGCCTTCTTTACACTGCTCCCACTGCTCTCGATGCTTTCCTTCCTCTCTTTATCCATCTAAACCCACCTCCCCTTCCCTTCAAAATCTATCCAAATCCTTCCTCTTCCTGGAAGCCTGTGTCAACCCACCCAGCCTTTGTGGTCTTCTCTGAATAACAGCAATGAAACATTCCTGGAGAACTTTCTATTCAGCACACTGCCAGGCTCTGTGTCAAGGGCTCTGTGTGCATTGTCTCATGTATGTCATTTGGCAGCTTGGGGGAAGCATGACAATCACCCGCTTTACAGAGGAGAGAACTGCTTGGTGAGGTGGTCACGTGGCCAAGCCGTTCTCCCTAGGGATGCAGCATCACGGCTGGAAGCTAGGGAGTCTGGCTCCAGACTTATGTGTTTACGCTACACAGCGCTGTCCCCATCCTTCCCCCACCACAGGTACTGGTTTTCTATACAGTCCTGCATAATTATCAGTCAGACTGCAGGCCCTTGAGGGCGGGAACCAAATCTAGCTCTCTTACGTCTGCAGAAGCATCAGCCCCCGATGGGGACACACTGTAGCTGTGCACCACAGAAGCTAACTGAATTGAGGAGGCTGCATGGAACATCATGGAACAGTCTTGGACTAAGGAAACCAGGTTGGAGTCTCTGCTTTTTCAGTAAGCTGCATGGCCTTAATGCCATTCATTCTGCCTGCCCCTCCCAAGCTGGGTTAGATTAGGCAATTTCTGGAATTGCTTCAATCCCAGAGGCTCACGCTCAGTTCTCTAAACTTACCTCTAGACGTGTCCGGTCCACATCCTTGGGCAGTCGGTTTCTTCCTCTTGTGGTCACCAGCAGCAGTTCATAAGGGTAGATCTGAAGAGAGAGGGGGGGTGTTTGCTGGTTGGGTGACAGTGGTGGGCTTGTCTCTTCAGATGTATTTTGTGTCTGGGCCCCCTCCTCTATCCAGAAATGGCCAGAGGTTGAAGTCTGGAGGAAGGGCTGAGTTTGTCCTCTTTGGGGTTTCCTGGCAGCCCCAAGGTACCTTCTCCCAAAACACAAGGTACCAGAGTCCTCAAATACTGCCCGGGATTACCTTGTGGCTTCTGGCCTTAATGTGAGCACAGGGGTGCCTGAATGTAAATGTCTCGTATCTGTGATTGACAAGCCTCCAGAAAGTCTCTGAGGCCTCGGGGGAAACTGTCTGATTTCAGGAAGCAAGAGACGTAGGGCAGAATTTAGGGAAAGTAGGCCAAGGAGGGACTGGAAATGCTAGTCCTGAGAGGACCCTTGGGGTTATTTATTGATATTCCCTTCCCTGCCTGGATGGGGCTGTCATCTTTCTGCTGGTCCCAGAGTCCCAGAGACACCCAGGGTCTATGTATCTTCTTTACCTTGTACTCTGTAGAGAGAGAAGAGACACACACACAGTAGAAACCATCAGTCTTTGCTTTGTGTCACTACACTGGCCTCTGCCACAGAGACCCTGTCCTTAATGAATTCACCCCAAATCAAGGCTGGTATGAACACAATAGAAAAAGGGATTGGGCTGAACCAGAGGTGTATTTTTAGGGGCAGTATGACTTTTGAGATACTTAGAATATAAATAAGAACAGTCTGAGACTGTGAAACACATGGGTGAGACCCTTCATCGTCTGGAGGGAGTCCTCCAGGGTTTGACGTGGGCCCGCTTTCCTGCCTGAGCCTGCTTGTAGGAGCTGGCGGAGGCTGGTGGGAGAGCATCACTGGCAGAGAGCATGAAGCTCATGGAATTTTTGCTGGGAACACAGTGCATCTGGCTCTGAGTGTTTCCCTCCACACGAGGCTGGCAGGCAGCTCTAGCTCAGCATTCCTGGGAGAACAGCCCTCTGTGATGACGCTGGGAAGCCAGATGGGACAGATGGCCTGGAGATCACCCGAGGCCAGGGACTTGAGAGGACGAGGGAAGAGCAAGGGAAAGGGAGGGAACAGGAAGGGAAAGGGAGGGGAACTCAGAGTTTGGACAGAGCCCAGCTTGAGGCCAGTGTCGTTTGCTGGTCACCCGCAGTTACGAGCAGTGCATCATAACAAGGGCCCTCTGAAGCCCCAGGAGAGGCCGGCACTCACCTCGCATGCCCCAGTTGACGGCGTTCATGCTGTCATAGTGGAACAGGTCAGCGCTGGGTGTCTGCAGGGGAGACAGAGACCAGGGTTGTTCTGAGGCAGGCCCACCTCTGCCTCCCTCAAGTACTCATGTGTTCCAGAAAATGGACTGGGCCTGGTGGGACACAGGGCCCTCTCAGAAGCCTCTGTCTCAAGTTGGGGGATATTTAATTTACTCCCATACCCCTAGTGCCTAGGCCTTGCACACAGTAGGCACTCAATAAATGTTCATTTATTGGTGAGTTACAGCTCATGCTTTCTTTCATTACTCAAGTATCCCCCCTTTTTTCTGAGACTGTCTTGACAACCCTGTCTGAAACTGTCAGTCGCCCCTCCCTCGACTCCCAGTCCCTCTTATCCTGCTCAGCTTCCTCCCTTTCTTCCCCAGCACTTCCTACCTTCTGTGTAAGCTGACTTGTATGCTGTTTACTACTTGCTTTCTGTTTCTCCCTGCAAGAATTTAAGCTCCAAAGGTCTTTGTTTTGTTTGGTCATTGAGGTACTCCAAGCACCCAGAGCAGTGCCCGGCGTACATAACAGGCTTTCAGTAAACACCCGTTCATGAGCGCACGTCTAGGCCCTGGGTGTGTGGGGCACGGGGCCTGTGTGCTCCTCGACGGGGGCGGACGCAGGGCGTTCACACCAGCCATTGCGCTCTCGTGGAGCTCTGATCCCTTTTGTGTGCTCAACACTAATACTGTCTCTTAACAAGTCTGCCACTTCTGTTCCTCTGCAGTGTCTCCTCTACATGACAGGTTTTCAATGGGAGGAGCTGGAACATGAACTCTACGGGAGCAGATTTATTCACTGCAGGACGCTCAGCACCCAGAACAGTGCCTGGCACTTAGTGGGTACTCAGTAAATAAACGCCTGTCTCAGTGTGCCTGCCCTTCACCCCATCACTTGTCTAGCCACATAGCTGCTGCTTTTTCCAACAAGACATATTTTTCTTTCCCATCCAGTCCTTAAACCAACTCACAGCTTCCATGGGGGTCTTACGCCACAGGCCATCAAACAGCTCAGAAGGCTCCAAGCCTTGGCAGGTGAGTGGAACCGGCAGTCAGGTGTGGGCTGTGGGGGCAGCTGGCCAGGGCTCGCATCCTGCCTCTGCACTTACTAGGAATGAGAGCTTAAGCAGGTCACTGCACCTACTTCTCTATGCCTCCATTTCTTCATCCACAAAATAGGGTTAATAAAAATAGTAACAACCTTGCAGGGTTACAGTGAGTGAGTGCCTGTAAAGGGCTGGGCACACAGTCGTGGTGCCAGAAGTACCAGGTGCTCCGAGCCCCTCCCGTGGGGGCTCACAGGGAGGACGGCAGTCGTGGCCTCGGGGTTCTTTTGTTAGTGCACGTCTAACCCCGAGGCCTCTGCCCAGCTTTCATCCACAAGTCATCAATCATAAGCTAGTGCTGGAATTGTGAACCTCTGGAGGACAGTGCCCCCAGCACAGCCCCTCTTACCCTGTGCAGCCCATTTCTTCTGTAGGCAGGCAGGGAGGCAGATTTGGAGAGGAGGGGATCTGAAAAGAAGGAGCCAAGATAATTACCAGGAGCCCCAAACCAGGGTTACCTCTCTCTCAGGTCATCTGGCTGCAAGTGGCCAATGTTCCTCCCCAACCCTGTGGGAAGGGCCATGGACAGAGGCCACCAGCTCCTTCCACTGCTCTCCAGACTTGCAAGTGACCATCTTGAAGGTGCCTCACCCTGGCAGAATTCTCAGCCCACCCGCTCACACAGTCTTCTGGCCTTAACCTGCACGCATGTATCCCATGGTGGGCCCATGTGTCCTGACCGCAAGGTGGCTCTGAACAAAGGCCCCAGAACTGGAGCTGAGCTCAGAACTCAGGCAGGCAGGCCCTCATGTGGGTGGAAGAGGCATGTGCTCTTTCACTCTGGGAGCTGTTGGGCCTGGCAACCTTGGTTCCAGAACCAAAGATTGAGGCCCACTCTCTGACAAACACAATGGGGTGCACTATTTTGGATAAGGACTGTGCTGGGACATCCATGTTGTATGTCATACAGCTAAGAGGGACCTGCAGCTGACTCAGCTCTGGCCCTCCCAGGACATGTGGGCTGAAAGTAGGGTGGGCAGAACTTACCGCTATCAGCCAGGTAGTGGGACCGAGGGGCTGCAAAAGAGAAGCCAGAGATGAGTGTTCATGGAGACACAGACATGGCTCCGTACCTGGGCCACTCAGGCTGGCAGGGCGGGGGGGGGGTCTGCCTTCAGTACTTCCTCTCCCACTGGGCACTTACTAATTGTGGCACCTGCACCCCACCTCCCTCCCCGCCCAGCTTGTACCCCAGCACCTGCACCAGGGAGGGAGGTGGGGTGCAGGTGCCACAATTAGTAAGTGCCCAGTGCTCAGTGATACTTGTTGCACAGATGCCACTGAATGGAGCTGAATTTTGAGCAGCACTGGTGCACTGCTCAGAGCCCAGAGCCAGGGGTTGAAAACAGTGCCCCTCAGTGGTCAAACAGGGAAATAGCTCATCAGTTCATCTCAGCTCTGCCATTAATAGATACCCAACTTCAGACAGGTAAACCATGCCTCATTTTCTTATCTGTAAAATGGGAAAGGATAGGGGCTCCTTTAGAGGGTTATTGTGAAGAATATATGATACAATACGGTAAGGCCCTTAGCAGAGTGCCCAAGAGATACAACCCTCAGTAAAACCGGCTTTGTCATCACCGTCATCACACCACTCTCATCCTTGATCTCACCTAGAGTCAGGGTGCAGCACAGCAAAGAGGGAAAAGCTTACGGCCTTGGAGTCCCTCTGACTTGGGTCTGATCCTGGCTCAGCCACTGACTGGCTTTCTAACTTTAGGCAAGAGGCTTAACCTCAGGTCTCTCATCTACAAAGTGGGTGATAATAATCCCTCTACACTGCGGTTCTTTGTGAGGACAGAGGGTGATAATGTGCCTGGCACACAGGATTATAATAAACGGTACCTTTTATTATCCATCAAGTATTGACTGTTAGGATTTCCTGGCAGGACTGAATCCCACAGGAGTAAGAAAGAGGGGAGGCAGGCAGACCACAGGAACAGGGAGGAGCTTACAAAGAGAGACTCGGGAAAAGTGCTTGAACCAAGCCTCTGCTTGTATGCCTCCAGTGATAGGAGGCTCAGTGTCTCAAAGGGCAGCCCCTTTTATTTTTGAGCCATTCAGACTGTTAGAAGTGGTTTTTCTTTCCATGGAAACTGCTTGGAAGTCACAGCTTCAGATGACCCGAAGAAGAAGAAACTTCTCAGGACGGAGCATGGGCTTATTTAGTGCCCCATACAGCCCCTCACCCGTCTGCTTTAGACCCTGGCGAGGCTGTAGGAGGTCCGATTCACCGATGGAAGAACTGATGGGGAAGAAGGTGCCCCCGCCCCGGCTGGCTCAAGGGCAGCACTCACAGCCGTCGAGGGACATCTCGTAGCCAGCTGTGTGCAGGGCCTCCCGGCTGCTGGTGGAGCTCCGGGGCGGGGTCCAGGGATCCGCGTAGGAGCTAGACCGGGCCTTCATCTCTTCCTTCAGAATTAGCCGGCCAATTCCGCTCTGGAGCTGAGGAGGAGCAAGACGAAGTTAGAAGGAAGCAAGGAATGCGGAGATGGAGCAGGCTTAGGAAAGGCTGAGGGACCAGACTCTCCATGGTGAAGCTCTGGAATTTTCTGCCTTCCCCGTGTCCCTCTCTCCTGCAGCATTTTCCTTTGGGGGACTTCATTTCTCTCCCACAAGTAGTCCTGTGGTCAGGGGGTGCTCTGGTGGTGGGCACAGAATTCAGGCCTGGCCAACAACAGCACCACTGTGGCCGCAGTGATGGGTTCAACGCTGGGCAGATGGCTTCAGCCAGGCCAGTGAGAGCCTTCCTGGGACTCTTTGTTGGAGTTGCTGGCACCCATGTTTTTAAAAAAGATTTTTTGGTTGAGGTGACACTCACATAATATAAAATTAACCATTTTAAAGGTGAACAAACTACAGTGGCATTTAGTATTCATGATATTGTGCAACCACCACCTCTAGCTAGTTCCAAATCACTGTTATCACCCCAAAAGAAGACCCTCTACCCATCAAGTGGTCACTCCACTTTTCCCTCTCCGCCCAGGCCCTGGTAATCACCTATCTGTCCTGTCTCTGTGGCTTTACCTATTCTAGGTATTTCATGTGAATGGAGCCATACAATACACGGGGCTTCCTGGCTGGCTTCTTTCACTAAGCACAGTGTTTTCAGGGTTCATCCACATTGTCGCATGTTATCAGCACTCCATTCCTTTTTATAGCTGAGTAATATTCTGTCAGATGGATATACCACATTTTCTTTTTTCATTTGTGAGTTGATGGACATCTGGGCTGATTCTACCTTTTGTGAGTAGTGCTCCTGTGAACCTGTGCATACAGCTTTCAGGTCTCCTGGGTATATACCTAGGAGTGGAATTGATGGATCTATGAACAAAGAATGTCATCTGCCCTATCAGTAAACAAAGGGTGTTGCAGCCATCAAGCCATCATCCTCTGCAGCCACCCCCCAAAGGTGCACCCTGAGGAGATTCAGGATGGAGCGAAACTGGATACTGGCCCTAGGCAGTTAAGGTGCACATCAAAGGGAGGATTTTAGTGAGCCCAGACTCTTGCATCTTCCCATACATAGCAAAGTGCTAAGTTCATTAATTTGAGATGTCTGGTTTTTCTTTAATTAGCAGCAATCTTTTGATGTTTGACTACCTGTATTCCCCCCCCCCAAAACTCCTGTATATCTGGTTCCTCCCTTACCTCTTTGGAGCAGTCCCTCAGAGCTATCTGAGAGGCTGTCTTCTGGGCTTAAGTGCTCAGTATGTCTGCTGAATAAAATATAATTCTCAACTTTCAGGTTGTGCATTTTTTTTTGATTGACAGTTTCTACAGTAATTCTGTTTAACTATTTGAAGAACCACAAATTCTCCGTCAGCAACTGCACCACTATCCACTTCCACCGGCAGTGCCACTGCAGGAGTCGCGCAGGAGGAGTCGCTGGCACCCACTGACCAGCATGAGAAGAACCTGCCTAAGCATGAAGTCAACACTGAGGCAAGCCAGCACAAGAGCAGGGAGAGACAATTTCCCTGTGGCAATTTGTTGAGCAGCTGGATCAAGTGGTACCTGAAGCTAATCCTACCATTTGACTTTTCATTTATGCCAAATTTTTGCATTTTCTTTTTCTATCATCAGTGGGTTTGAATTTGGTCTCTGTCACTCACAAATGAAAAAAATACTCAGTAACATACCATCGAAGCACCTTATTCAGTGGTGTGGCCTGCTTACCTTGTGCATGCTGCGGTCAAAATCGTCCTCCTCTCCTCCAGATGAGAACCTTCTGGCTCGGGGCACTGCCAAAAGACAGCTAGAATCAGCTCCCACCCATGCTCCCCATTCGGCCTGCCCCAGGGAGAGGGCTTAGCAGGTAGCACAGCGTCAACAGGCAGGGGTCTCCTTGTGGCTCCACCAGTTTCTAGCCAAGTGACCCCGCACAGGTGCACTCAGGTGAATCGCCTCCATGGTGGCCTCCCTATATGGAGACGCCCAGCATCCCTTGCCATTTTGGGGCCAGGAGGTGCAGGTGAAGCTGACTGTCCCAATGGAGCTGATAGGCCTCAATGCTGGGACTTCTGCCACTGGTGGGAAAGAGGAGTCCTCCTGCCAAGGGTAGGAGATGAGCCTGCACCTGCCAGAGCTCATCTTGCCACGACAAGGGCAGAGTCAGCCGGAGACTGGAGCTACTCGACCTAGGGGACAGGTCGGGTCCTGCTGATGCTCACCCACCCCTAGATCAGCTGGGCTGCAAGAAATTTCAGTTACATGATCCAGAAAAATCCCTGTTTTGCCCTAAGCCATTTGGAGATTTTTTTTTCCTTTTTGTTTGTTTTTGTGATTGAAATAGTCTCATCTAAGATTCCCCCCTCCCCCGATGCCTGCTGGGCGTGATCTCTCTTGCCTGCAGCCTCGAAACACTTATCTCTCGTGGGCACTGGTCACCGTCCACTTTGGGTTATAGCTGTGCTTACGACTTATCCCATTTCTAAATGGAGAATTCTCTGAGGGTGGGGCAGGGTCATCTCTGAGCTCCTGTGAAGCTTTGCTCAAAATGGACATTCATTTAGTAAAGGTGTGTGTTGAATCAAAGTGTCACTTAATGACAGCTCCTCCCCATACTTGAAAGAGACAGCTAGGGGTGTCTGGGTGGGACGGCACCTTGAGGACCATTAGGATGCCAGGGTGCCTGCGAGAGCCTTCCATCTCCCGCCATCCTCTTTCCCATTCACCAAGCCGTTTTCCACCTACAGCCAAAGTGGTCTCTTAAAAACACAAATCTGGTCATGTCACCACTTTTAATGGCTTCGTACTAATGGCAGCTGAGTCTCTGTGTCTGAGAAGCTTTTGTCACCTTCCAGGCTGGACAGCACGCCCCTGCCAGCAGCTCTTGTACCTCCTGTACCTCACCTGCTGTACATCACCTCCCTCTCCAGGCTCGTCCACAAGGGCACGGACCACGTCTACTTTGCCGGTGTCTTCCTAGGGCTCCTGGCTGGCCCTCAATTCATACTGGCTGAGCTAATAAATGAATGATTGTGTGAAAGAATGGGCAACTGTCTGTCCTGGCCCTGTGTGTCCCTGGTGCAGGTGATGGGACTCTGGTCCTGGCTCCCCTGTGTAGGGTGATACCTTTGGGGGACCCATGGTAGGTCCAGTACTCAGACTCCGCAGCATAGTAGGGGTCTGGCGAGTAGGCTGGACTGTACTTGGAGGCCTGGCTGATGTCTTCACTTGTTTTGCTCTTAGTTGCCGTCGACAAATCACCTGCAAAGGACCCAAGAGAGAGCTTCAGGGAGGGAGAATGTCCTAGAAGAGCATCCTCGACACTCTCCCATCTGAGCCAGGCTCCAGCCCGGGGGGTGAGGCCACTCCCAGGCCAGGGTCTGGGACATGGGGCACTGGAGCTGGAAAAGTCCTGAGGCTCAGCCTCTCCTTTTACAGTTGGGAACCCGAACACCCGAAATGGGTAGAGGCTTGCTCAAGATCACACAGCACGTTAGACCAGAACTGGACCAGACCCCCCTGCTCAGGGCTGCTTCTACCAACTCCACGGACTCTCCTAAGTAAACACTAAGGCCATGGCGCCTCCAAGTTAAGACTAGACAGGTCCCAGGTGAGTCCTCGCCCTCACGTTCCTCGCCCTCTAGAAGCCAGCCTTGTGGATTCGAGCCACACCTAAGGTGAGATCGCCAGGCAGGGCTTTGTTGCATGTGGAGTCAGGTCCACTTTCTCCTCATACTGAAATGACAAATCCTGCCTGGGGGGGCTAGGTGGCCAGAAGGAAGGAGCACTGGGCAGGGAGTCAGCAACGCCACCTAGCTCAGCTGTAGCACTGGGCAAACCCTGCCCCCTCCGCCTCAGGTTCTGTGAGCATCACAGGTGGGCTGCTGGCTGAGGTATCATCTAGCTTCATGCTTGCACCTGACGTCCACCACGTGGGGTGACCCTCAAACCCACTGCAGGCACAGAGCCCTGCAGGGCCCAGACTGGTGAGAGGCTAACCAGGACAGAGAGAGGGCTGGGGAAGCGAGCTGGGTCCCTGGTCTGTCCTCAGGAGAGAAGCTATGGGGACAAGCTCCGGGCTTCGTAGAGCCAGAGCAGCGGAGGGTCCTGGGGTGGTGCCAGCAGCACTCGCTTCCAAAGCCTGGAAATCCTCTTTGATGTGGGTCCTGGGCAGCCTCCCTCACCCCAGCTGGTCTCATCCAGCCCTTTCACCCGCCCTCTTATCTGCAAGATCTACCTTCACCCCACACTCCTCCTAAGGCTGCTTCGCTGCTGCCCCTTGGGCTCACCTGGGAAGTCTCGCAGAATCCTGAGGGGCTTGGGACCTGGGGGCCTTTTCTGGATACAAAGTCAAACTACCTTTGTCAGGGTTGGTGTCTTTGTGGCCACTCAGGGTACACAGCAGGTCCATCACAGCCATGTGTGGGTGTGCACTGCTCAGGACTCGCCCGGACCCCAGCCCAGGTCCGTCCAAAGTCGGGGTCTCACTTGTCTAAATTGTCAGGTCTTCAGCACCCAGAGCCACTGTCTATACCTGTACCACCTCCTCCACCAGCTCAGTGAGTTTGGATCCCAGTACAGGGCTGCTTCTGCCTGTCTCCATGCTCGTCCAATTCTGTGCTCCCCTCTCTGTTCCAACCAGGCCGAAGGCATTGGGGGGTGATGCAGAGTGGCAGCCCCGCCTCTGCATCCTGAGGGATGGGTGTGCCCATTCAGCTGAGCCTCTCTCAACGCTTTTGCAAGAATGAATGGGTCTCAGCGATGAATGACTCGGTGGTTCCCACACTGAGCGCAGGTAGGAGTCATGAATGGAGCCAGTTACAGTGCAGATTCTTAGGCTGTGCTCTTAGCACTTCTATTTAAGGAAGTCTAAGGCAGGGGAGGGGCCAGGGCATTGGTTTTTAAAATAAATCTCTTGGGTGCAAATGGTCCACAGACCATTCTGTAAGAAACATTAAATGAATGAATGAATGAATGAACAAATGCAGGCACCCTCAGCTCCTTTCTCATCCACATCCTCTCTCCAGGTCTCCACTACTCTCAGGACATGGTGACTGAGGCCAGTTTAGAGCAGTGGTTTCCAAGCTGGGCTGGCCATTAGAATAACCTGGAGAAACTGTTACAAATATATAATTTGGATTTATCAAGTCTGTGGTGGGGCCCAGGAGTCTCTATGCATGCCACATGATGTGAACGAACATCCAAGTTAGTATCAATACCTTGGAACGTCACTCTCCTAGGGCCATGTGCACTTGACAAGGGTTACTCTAACCATGGAATTTAGGACCAGACAGCAGGGAAGGAAAGGTGGGGAGATGGTGGGAAAGGGTGTAGGGAACACAAGGCCTTCCTTGCTCATTTGAAATGTCACCAAACTCCTCCCTAACGCCACCTTGAGCGATTAGGGGCAGCCGACAAGGACTGAGTTGCAGCCTTGCATGTGCCCCTCCTGGTGGCCCTGCAGAGCCACCCGCACAGATGATTAACTGCCCCTCCCCTTGCCTGGCCAGGCCACCTCTGTCCCCGACCATACCATGCCGTTTGTAGATCGGGGGTTTCCGGTAGATGTTACTTTCTCCAGCTGCCAGACCAGGAAGGGACAGCAGGGAGGAGAGAGAGAGACAGGAGAAAAGGAGACAGCAGTTGGTTAGCTGGTCCCAGAAGGGAAATGGGTAGCAACTTCTACCAGGGCCCTCCCATCTTTCCCCCGGTGGACTTCCTCTTCCAAAGCTGAACTTCCAACCTCATCCCATCAGGATCCAAGAAGGGTGAGAGGAGAGGAATGGATGGATTCAAACGGGGCTGAGGAAGGGACCTGGGGCTTGAATGGTGGGCATGCAGGCACAAGGCGGGCGCGTGCTCAGCAGAACCCCATGCGGAAGGTGCCCGCTGCCTCCACCCGGCGGCCACGTGGAAGTGCCCAGAATGCTGCAGCCACAGCCAGCACTCTCGCCCTCCCCCTCCCTCAAAAACAGATAGGATGGGACCTTTCTGGAGCAAGTGAGAAAGGTGTAGATGAAACAGCAGGACGAACTCCTGGGGAAAAGTGAGTGGGGAGTGAAAACCTGAGCTCAGAGTCGGGAGACTGGGGTCTAGGCCCAGCTGTGCTGTAACTTAGGGTGAGACCTTGTCCAGATCACACCCACGAGGTCACCTAGCCCCTGCCTTCCTCTCATCTCCTGTAACTCTCCCCCATGCTCCCACTTCCAGCCATGCTGGTCTGCTGCTAGCACAGTGTTTCAGGACCTCTGGATTTGCTGTTCCTGCCACCTGGGACATTTTTCCCTGGGTTCTCTTATCGCTTCAATATCACCTCCTCCAGGAAGCCCTTCCTGACCACCTCACCTAGCCTGGCCTCCCCTAACCCATCACTCTGTCACAGTGCCCTGTTTTATTACGTTTAGCACCTGTCTCCTGAAATTATCCTTTTACTTAGTTGTTTACTCCTTTATTAGCTCTCTCCCCACATTAGAACATAAACACCATGAAGGCAGGATCTGGGGTGGTCTGAGCACAACTGCAACTTGGGGGCCCAGAACAGTGCCTGGCTGTACAGAAGGAACAGCGCAGGCTCAAGGAAGCTCAGTGACTGGCCTGAGATCATGAGCTTATAAACAGCAACATTAGGATTCAATCCCAAGGGTTTTGATACAGAAGCCCGTGACCTTCAGCCTGGTTACCGCTGTGACCCATCATGGCCCTCGGACCGTGGAGGCACTTCCCTGGGCTGCTACCTGGCGGTCCCCATCAAGGCTGGCTCTGTCAAGTGGGAGGGCTAAGGCCTGTCGGGCTGGAGGTGCGTTAGTGTGGGTGACTGGTTAGGGAGGGACCCCAGCACCCCGCTTCTCTTTGGTGCCGGTGCGGGGCGCCCGGCGACCCCACAGAGCATGCACCCACGCTGGGAATCCTGGGCTGACAGCCTACCTGGGATGTGAAAGTGCTTGGGAGCCTGGTAAGAGGTCGGAGTGGAGGACCTCACATCTAACTGGCTATGGTACGGAGAGCTCCGGCCACTCTCGGGCCCTGGAGCACGCAGGCAGTGGTCCCAGAGAGAACAGAGGCACAGAGAAAACAGGCATTAACGCAGTGGCGGCGGTTAGGGCAGCAGTGAGGTGATGGCAGCAGGGGTGGTGAGGCGGCGGCTGTGCTCATGCACCGTGTTCGCGGAACAGGCTTGACCCTGCTTCCTTGCTTCATCCCAAAGTCAGACTTTGTGGGACGTGAGAATCAACAGCAGTGAGCTTCAGGAAGGCATCTTTGCCCCGCTTAGCTTCCCACCTCTCCCCGGTCCCCAGGCCCCTCCTTTAATTGCTCTGTCTACTTCATCCTTAACCTCAGGGTGGCCCTTCGGCAACTCCAGGCCACAGCCCTGTTTCTGCTCCTCTGGTTTTACTTTCTGGACAGGGCAGGACAAAGGACAAGGACGGAGACATCTTATTCCAGCCAGGGCGGCTGGGCTGCCTGCCCACCACTCCTCTCCTGGCAGCCCACCACCCACCTTCTTGCTGCTTCTCGGCACCATGTACCCCTCCTCTCCCACTGCCAGCGGTGTCTGCAGGGACTCAGTGAGGCCTGGGTGGCCACAGGAGATATCCCAGAGAAGCCCCCAGCTGTCTCTGCAGCTGAGACATCAGGCCTCTGTGTTGTTCCCCAGATTCTTCCTGACCCTCTGGAATTTCCCCCTTCCTTACCAGACCGGTAGTAGTGGTGAGGAGAGCGGGAGAAGGTGGGGGACATGCCCTGCCGGCCGTAGGTGGGGGAGTCGATGTATCCTGGGCTGGAGGCCCGTCTCTGCCGGAGGTCCAGGTTCTCATAGATGTCCTGGGGGAGGAAGCGCGACCGTGAGCCAGGCCTGCAATGAGCAGGGCCTGTGGCCCAAGGGTCTAGCAGGCAGGTGGGGGAGCGGCAGGGAATCTGGGATTCCAGGCGCTGAAGCATGGTGCTGCCCTTCTGAATACACAGCCCCTCTCCCCAGGTTACATGCACAGACCAAGAAAGGCTACAGAGGCTTTCCAGGGCCTTCAACCATTGCTCACAGGCCCTTGCATGGAACCCATGAGTCAGGTCCCTGGAATCCTGGCCAAGGATCACAGAAGCATCAGGGAGGCCATCTCTGGGTAGAAAGAGTACCCCAGGTTCTCCCCCAGCCGCCTCTACCCTTTAAGCCACTGCCACTTTCTCCAGGTCATGCTCCTAGGTCTCCCTGTCTCTGCCCGGGGCTGGGGGAGAACCTTCGGGGGCTGGGTGGGGGCAGAAACTGGAGGTCTGCTTGGTCAGCATAAAGGGATACAATTACACAAAAGGTCTTCCTGAACCAGTTTAATTACCTGGGAGTAGGGAGATAAGGTTCCCAGCGACTTGGAAGCGAAGTTTGCAGGCAGTCATGGAAGGAGCGAAAGGAGACAGGAGGCGAGAGGGAGGGACAGAGAGCGGTTACAGAGGGAAGAGGCCTGCAGCTTCCCCGCGGCCTCCCGCCCGGAGAGCAGCCTCACTTAGACTCCCAGCCTTTCGGCAGTGCTGACAGGCGGGAGGAAACCTTGAGATTATGGCCCTTTTTTTTTACAAGTGGCGAAACCACGGCTAAGAGGGGACTGGATGACGCGGGGCCCCTTAGAGAAGAAGCAGTAGGGTTGCCACCTGGGCCCAGGCTCCCCCAACCACAAGCCTAGAGCCATTCTATGGCCCTTCCCTGTCCCTCTACGAGTTCACAAGGACAGGACCCAGGGCAGGGACCCAAATGCAGGGCCAAGCAAGGGTCAGGCTGGTGCCATCAATATGGGAAGTGGGCCGGTGGGGAGGGAGGGGCCAGGCAGCGGGAGACGGAACGTGCCGCCTGCAGAGGGCAGTGGCGCTCAGCTCCAGCGCACCCAGGCCAGGCTGGACGGCCGGCCCCGGGTGAGGGAAGACTCTGAAGTTCCCACGACAATGGAGAAGTGCAGACTCTTCTGTGAAATCTAACGTTTGAATGTTCACAACTAATTTACATTTTAAAAAGACATTTTGTGAGTGAAACAAAACAAATCTGGGGGCTGGCTGGACCCAGTTTCCTATCTCTGGCTTCAGGAGAATCAGCTTCTACCAAACACTTGGTCCCCTTTTCCTGGTCCATTTCAGAGGCCAGGACCCAAAGAATCTCAGCACTGGGCTCTTAAACCAAGTGGAACCCCAAACCCCTTAGAGAGGAAGGGGACAGTGGTAAAGTGGGGACAAGAATTTGGTCCCTACCAACCAAGCCAGGGCTCCTTCTAAAGCTCCAAATGATCTCAGCTCAAGGGGCCTGGGAAGGGCTTGGAAACCTGGGACGGAGACTGCCAGGACCTCTTGGGTAACAGCCACCCTGCCTTCTCTAGGGAACACTTTCTCTTGTCTGGCAATCATTTAATTATTTCAAAAGCCACCTGATGGTGAGTTTTTATGAGTGTCTCTTGCTCTCAGCACAGGGGCTTAAGGCCAGGTGCAATATCCAGAGAACCTACTTAACCAGGGATTATAACCCCAAAAGGCCACTGAGCCATGGGCTGTGTATAAGGTTTCTCCTCTGTAAGAGAAGCAGCAGCTCAAGTGATACGTGGTCACAGGTTCTCAGCTTTAATGTGGAGGTTCTCAGGGAGTGGTGGGGACTGGGAGAACTGGGGAGCCCATGTCCTGCCTATAGGCGGCACTGTTCCCCATCTCGGGTTGGTGGAAACACTGGTGTAGTGTGGCCAGCTCCGATTTTTCAAGAAATGCCAGATTTTGGATGAAATTGCCTGATTTTTAAATGTTGACTGTAAATACCAGTTTTTTAAAAAAGAGTCTGGGGGCCAACACTGTGGAGACCAAAGTCTCTGTGACAGAGAGGACTGGGGACCCTGCGGGCCCTCCTCTCCCCCAACAGCCCCAGAGAGCGGGGCGGGACGCCATACCTCTCCATAGCCACATCTCTCCAGCATCTCGTCAGACGTGTATCGGGAATGAGGCTCATAGGAAATGAGGTCGGGGCGTTGTACCTCGTAGATGGACTTAACCTTGGGGAGAGCTGCCAGGTCTTTGTAATTAAGGATCTCATTATCCACTTTAGCCTGAGGAAGAAGGAAGCAGACAGGAAAGAAGCAGAAAGATAAGAGGGAAAGGAGAGAGGAAACACAAGCCAGGCACAGGAGGAATGAGCTGCTCCAGTTAGGATGGGAGACTCTCAGAATGTTACAGTAACACTGGTCGCTCATTCCAGCAGAGCTAACACCGACTGAACACATGACATGTGAGGTTCGGGGCTTCACAGGATCGACCTCCTCTAAATGTCAGGATGCCTCTGCGTCTGAGTAAATGTCAGTTTTATTCCTATTTTCCGGATGAGGAAACTGAGGCTCAAAAGACTCTCCAACTTGTGCCACTTAGCCAGTAGGGCCGAGTCCAGTCTGAACTACACAGCCTGGGTGCTGACTGCCCTCCAACCCCACACAGTGAGGACACCCTCATTCACAGCATCCTTGAAGGTGGCAAAGACAGAATTAACCATGACCGTAAAACACTAGCTAACATTTGGTGACCACTTATTATGAGCCAGACTCCATCTTAAGTCCCTTATGTAGATTAACTCAGTTAATTTATACAACTCACAACTCTAATAGTAGATACTAATTTTATCCTCATTTTTGCATAAGGAAACAGGCACAGAGAAATCAATGAACTCGTCCAAGTTCACACAGCTAACAAGGAGCAGGACCAAAATTCAAACCCAGGCAGCCTAACCTGGGAGCCTGCTGTCTCCATTGGCCTCTCCTGGCTTCCTGGGGTGGCGAGTTCACTGTCTTACAAGTGTCAGACGGCTGCACTCAGACAGCTGCTCTTTATGCGGGACTGACGCGAGCCTCTACCTACTACCTGACTTCGCCTGAGTTCAGCCCTCTAGAGCTGCAAGGACCGAGAGACAGCCTCCCCTGCCCGGGACAACCCACATCTCCTGGCTCCTGAAGCCACATCCTTTCCTTGTCTGTATCCTCCAGCCGGTCCCTCTGTTTCCAGTCACCTGGTTCTGCTGTGGTCAATCAGGACCTGTCCTCTGTAACCACTGTGGCTCACAAGGTAGATTGAGAGAGAGGCCACTAGACAGAGAATCCAAGGAGACTATACCCTGTACCGTCTCCCAGTGCCTCGGAAGCCAGGTTAAGTCTCAGGACCAAGACTCCAAAGAGAGCAACTTTCATATCAAGACCTTATGAGTGCTGACGTAAACACTTCCCAAGGCCCTCCCTCTCCTCCATCCCTGTCCCAATCCACAGCTGTTTGGGCACCATGCTGTTCATCGTCCACTCGCCCGAGACCCACTGTCCGCTCCTCCTGGCCCCGCTCTGGGCTCTGAGGTCCCACAAACTGTGTCACAGGCTCCCTGGCTTTGCCCAGTGTGGGGCTGAGTGGAGAAAGCAGCTTGTGCGTGTCTCCCTGGCACCCGCCCAGCCCGGCCGCAGGGGCTGGGCCCCTCTGGCTGCTCTTCCTCGGCTCCAGCTCTCACTCCTCCCTTTAGCTTAGGGTGGTGACAGCCTCTCACTGTTGCTGCCCCTGGATGCCGCACTAGGTCTTGTGGTCCCCTGACCCTGCCTGCCCCTCTGCAAACGCTCCCATCACAGTTAAACCTTTGAGGTGTGCCAGCTCACTCCTGCCAGAGCCTGCCCAGGCCTGACACCCACGTCTGTACCAGTTTGGGGGAGTGTGGGCAGAGGGAACCTTATTAGGAGAGTCCACGTACTGCCTTTTGTCCTGGGATGTTAGCTCTTGACCTTGAGAGCTCTTGGCATCTTACTAATTTGTCTCGACTCATCAATATTCATCTCGGCACTTTACTCCAAACCTCAAAAAAAACAACTAAATTTATATTTCTTCCAATAGCCGCCTTGTTTACAGGGTTATAAATGAGCCTTAGGTCTGGAGGCACAGTGACAGAACGGAGGCATCCTAACATAGCTAGCCAGGAAGGAAGGAAACAAACACGTCAGGCTGACCAGTAGAGTCACCCAAAGGTAATTCTAGCAGTCAGCACGGAGTAGGGCAAAGTTTGAAAGTTGGAAAGTTGGAAAGTCCCCTGCAGGCTCACGGATCATTCTGTTTTAATACCAAACCTCCGTATTTATGAAAGTTAAACCAATACTTGATCTTTCTGCCAGTTACTGAATGTCCCAAAAGTGGTTGACTGGATTCGTCTCTGAATTTGGAAGCTATGCTTGGAATGGTCTGACTTAAAACATGGCTCACATGACATGCAGAGTCAGTCCCCAGAGCAGCTGGAAGAGAGACACCATTCAAGGGAGAGCGGAAGAAAACAGAAGGGGAGACACATGCCTCTGCTGGGACACCAGGGGTGACTGGTCTCAGTGGATGAGCCCCCAGGTGGAGGGCCCGATGGCAGGCATCCCCAGCTGCTGGCGCTCATCTGCAGTGGGGCTGCTTCTCATGAAGCAACTCCACGAGCTTCCTCCAGAACTCCGGGGTGGACATCATCAGGGCCTAACTTATTTCACAGAAGTTAATGAGGCTCCCCAGGAGCACCGGGGAGGCCACCCTGGGACAAAAGACATTCTGTGCAGCTGCGTGTGTCCTGAGCTCACAGATCCTGGTAACGCTCTTCTAGAGACGTGCTCACTTTTGTCAGTAACTTCTCACATTACAGGCCCTGAAACTAAGCTCATTCATCTTGCTGCGGTCTGGCCCCACTCACAGCACCGGGGTGAGACTAGCATCTCTCTTGATCTGGATCGGACTCTTCAATGAGGACAGCTTATGATCAAAGTTGCTAGTCTTTTGTGGGAGCCACACGTTGCAGTGGCCAACGTTGAAGTTGTGGTCGATGATAACTTACGTCTTTTTTTTTTTTCATTTGAACAGAGGACGGAAGGAAAGGAAACAGTCTCATGAATGGGCTTTATCCAGGGATCAAGGAGGATCTTGGATGTGGATTTGGAGTGAGATAATGATCCAGCAATGGTAGGCAGGGCCCACCCACGGCTGGCTGGCGTGGGGACAGTATCTAGAGCTTCTTACTAGGAGTGGGTTTCCTGCTCTAGACTGCTTCCCGCATTTCTGGTCTTCATGGCAACTGTGACCTGAGAAAGGCTGTGAGAGTCCGGACTCAGTCCGATTGGGGTTTGCTGACTGCCAGCCCCCGCCCCGCTCACTGCAGTCCTTTCTGGCTCTGCTCCCTACCCTCATTCTGCTTCTCTCTCAGGCATGAGCTTAGATGTTTCTTCCTCAGGGGACTCTTTCCCCCAACAAGACCGACAGGTCCCTCTGTTCATCTGTAGCAACGTCAGAGCACCGTGCACTTTTCCTTCCAACTGCCTATCACAGCGGCCTCTGACTGTGCGTGGAATTACGGAGTCAGTGTTATGAGGACAGGCATCCGGTCAGTGCAGCTCACCAGGGCCCAGCACTTAACCCAGAGGAGACATTCAGCACGCATTTGTTTAGTGAATGAATTAATGAATGAATGACCTGTGATGTCATCTAAATCAACTCCTGTCCCTTTTGCCACATCGCTGCAAATGAGGAGTGTCTCTGTGTTTGAATGCCTCTGGGGATGGGAACTTGGACACATGCATCCCTGGGCTTCTCTCATGATTACTAAGCTCTTCTTTATGTCTGCAAATGCTTGACAGTCGTGTTTCCACATTCATGTGGCATCTTCCCTCTTTTTGCCTCTTCATCACACACCACTATCTCCACATCAACATCCTACCCAAGAGCCACTCCAAACACCTCTCTGATCCAAATTTTCATCTTGCCCCGGTCTCCATTAGTCATGGAGAAGAGGCACGTGGCACTGGTTTTGGAGCCCCTACTGCAATTTACGAGGCCGTGGGCATGGTGAGGGCTGCGTCCATGTCATCCTTGTCCCCCACCGCATCCTCGGGACCCAGCACGGAGCCTCCAGCAGGCACACGCTAGATATTGGGTGGACAGAAACCTGACCGCTGTCCTTAGAGACTCTTTAGTTACGAGGCCTGGGGATAAGCAAGGCCTTTGGCGGCTGAGAAGTGATACATACGCAGATGACTCGGTTGGGTGACCCGATGCTAGAGCCAGGGGGTGAGATGGAAGTTTCAGACGTCCGCCTGTGCTGTGGGAGAGACGAGACAGAGGGTGAGAGGCTGCGGCACCTCCAGCTTGGCGGGGAGGGGGAGACAGGCATACAGTTCTTCAGGGAACATTAGCAGTGCTGTTAAAAGCACTCTCTGGCTATTTCTGCACTGTCTATCTTCTGCCTTTTTAATCAGTGTCTGAGTATGAATGAAATCGGAAATGCACAGGACTTTAGGTTATTGATATAATTTTTTTTACATATCTGTAACTGGCCTCTTTGATAGGAAGCAGCTCATAAAAGCCTTAAATTTTTCATTTAGGCTTATCCCACTCAATAACATATTTACTTTACGTGAATAAAATTGGTTAGTATCATTCCTTAGCAGTTTGTTTATATAAAACCTAAAAAGTAGGTTAAGCTTCATGTAATTGTACAATATGGTTCTTTCTAGTGTATACATTGCAAATTGACATCAGCCTAAGTGAGAAAATGAAGAAACCTTTCTCTGAACAACGGCAATGATGGATTAATGGCTCCCTTAACACAACAGCACAATGTTCATCTTGGTGCATCTAAGACAGGAGTGGGCTATCCAGCACTGTTTCCCAGGCTGTGGACAGTGAACCAGTCTGGCTCTGGGGAGAAGAATTTAGGCAGAAACTTTGATAATGCTGAGTCACAGAGTGAGAGAGTAAAACGTAAAATTCTATTTCAATCCTCTTGGTTAGATCAAGGAGGAAGTCTTAATCTAGTCCTAATACATTTCAACAATTTCTAATTCCATCCCCCCTCCTCCCCTCTTTTTTTTTTAACAAACAGAGAGCAGGCAACATGATCTAGCTAGAATTTGTAAGAGTTATTCTTATGAATTATTTCATTTTCAATGAATTTATTTTAGAGTTACCTTCTACTTATAGAAATACTGGTTTTCCATTTGGTGATATAAAGTCTTATTTTAAAATAAGCTTAGTTAAGTAAAAAGTAGTGACTTGACTTCAAGAAAAATATGAAGTATGTAAAGACAAGGTGGTACATACAGCAAAAAGCATTAGCATATAGAAGGAGAACTGAAATTCGAAAAATGGCAAGAAAGAGGAGGAAATGGAGGAAGAAAAGGACACTCAGGTCTTAGACCTTGAAAGAGAGAGGCCTTGGAAAAAACAGGGAAATAAACTCACAGCTCAAAAAAATTATGCAGCAATTGACCAGCTCTTCATGAATGAAATAGATAAGACAGCAAAGGAGATAACATTTAACCAGCTGGTCAGAAGCTGTACACGTGTTTTTAGTGGAGACTCTAGCAGGTAACTTTAGTAGAGCCCCAAGGGGCCGAGTTGATATCCAGGGCCAGAGTGCAGAGGCACCTTGGAGCTCATCGAGGGCCCCCCAGTACACACCCCAGGTCTCCCCTCTTCAGCATCAAGGACTCAGGAGATGCTGCCCACTCCTGTAGTCCTTGGATCAAGAATCCGGATCCACAGGACTTCCTGCACAGTAATTCAGAGGGACACAGGACCTCAGCTGCTCCAGCGTGCGCCTGGGCGGCTGGCTGCATTACTGCCGGGCAAATCACCACCCTCTTTAAAGCCTTGGTTTCTCATAAGCAAAGCAAAGATAAAATTCTTTACCCATCTGCCCTATGGGGTTAAAGAAATCAAATGAGACAGTGGCTTGTGAAGATGCTTTGCAAGCTGTTCATTTCTGTGATAATTTTAACTACTATTATTAACAAATGACCTTAGGCTGGGGAAAACCAGGGCTTATGTGCCTCAGAGGGGCCACCATCTTGGTAAGTAATGGGAAGGGTATAGCCTCATTCCAGAAATACTAAAAACACACATTCATACGGTGCCTTACAGTTTACAAAGTGCTGTCATATCCAAAAGTCTCAATCCCTTCAAAAGCCCCATGAGGTGGATGTTACCACTGAGGAAATCCAAGGATACAGGCACACATTTGAAAGTGCACACACTAAGGAGTGACTCTCTGTACAGCACAGTGGCCCCAGCCTGTGTCTAGAAGTAGCTGGCTGGTATCACCACCAGCTTGCTTAATTGCTTACCTTTAACTTCTTCTCTGCCCGGGCTGCCTGTTTGCAGATGGGGTGCCAAACCTCAGAACCTAAGGGGCCAGGAAAATAGCAAAGACTCAGATCTTTCACACATACCCAAATTCGACGTCTCTCCCCACCCCCCACCTCCATTTACTCCCCTGGCAGCTCCTGTGCCCTGCACAGCAGCCGGGAGGACCCCCTGGTTTTCCTGGATCTCTGCTGCTACATCGATTCAACCACCCATGCACTCTTCACTCATTCTGCAGGTCCAAATCTCGCCCTTCCTCAAGGTCCACGTCTCATGTCACATCTTCTGGCAAACTTTCTCACCTGCCAGCTGGGAGCGACTTCTTTCTCCTCCGTGATCCATAGTTCTCTGTATCTTTCCCAACACATACGTCCTTAAAACACAGCAGCCTCGGGGTTTATCACCCCAACTAAATTAAGACCTCCTGCTCAGGCAGAGCCGAGCTGTCTTCATTGCTGGGTCTCCCACAGCGTCCAGCCCGGGACCTGGCTCTCAGCGGAGCCCCACACACGTTTGCGGGGTGATGAGGCGAGTGGACGGTTGGCAGTGAGTGACACATAGCAGGTGGTCAGTGAGGATTTGCTGAATGAATGGATGGCAGTGGAGATGAAATACAGTGACAGACTGTGGCGAACTCCTGCTTTCCTTTCTCTTCAAAGACTTAGGACCGTCTACCAGAGCTATCACATTTAAGGGGAGGAGGTGCCACGATGTATATTCTGCCTGCCTTGACCTGCTAATTCCCAAGAGACTCCAGACTCTTCAAATTTAGTCTCCTGCAAATGCCCACGTTTTATTGTGGGTGGGGGTCCAGTTGGCCAGCCCTGAACCCAAGATGCCAGTTTGGAAAGGCATGAGCAACAGGTGGCTGGTCACATGTTGAGAAGAAGCCCCAAATATGACACATTCCCCAAAGAAAGGACAGGTGTCTTGGATTAGATGGAAAAATAGGAACATGTTATCCCTCCGCTGCTATTTCTCTTGTTTCCAACCCTGAAAGGAAAGGAGCCAGCAAATGGCTAGATTCCTGAGCACCCAGATGGCATTTGTTTGTCTGACTTTGTTTTTAGAATATATTTTCCATTATGGTCTGTTGCCTGGAACTCCTCGGGCTGGATACTGGCGAAGGACAGGAGGGCGGTGTAAGGGTAAACAATTACGCCCGAAAGCATGGTGGAGGGAGGGTGGGCCCAAAGGAAGGAGCCCTGGGTCTCTGCTCTATCGCAGTTTCCTCATCTGAATAATGAGGAGGTGGGCTTTGGATGGTCTCGGACATTATTATTTTCACCTCACGAATTCTAATTCTAGGGCCAGTTTTGACTGGATCTTTGACTCTTGTTTGCTGACACTCCTGGGTGTTCCTAATTGGTTCTACATGAATGTATTTCCTCCTAATGTAAAGTGCAATGGCCCTTAGAGCCCAGTAGAGGGACCCTGGGTCTGCGGCTTGATCCAGCGATCTTAGGGTGTGTCCGCTACCAGGTGCTGGGTGGGGATCCGAGCTTTGGGGAATCATTAGAGAGAGCATTTCCGGGTCCTCTCCAAGTTGCTGCGGAATCCACCAGGAGTTGTTTACTGCAGTGGCTCTGGCAGGAAGCATATGTTACAGGTCACTGCAGGGAATGGGTGAGGTGGACACAGATGTCTAGGAAGGTCGTGAGATTAAGTGCAAAGCATAAGGAAGGTAAAGGGTCAGGCAGAGGTTCTCACGGGGGGGGAGGGGAAATGATGTGTATAGGGAGGAAGTCAGCCCAGCTGGTCTCTCCATGCCACTGACATATCTGTTCCCAAATAAGGCTAAGCCACAAATGGCTTCAGCACTCTGCATACACGAATTCAAGTTTTTATAAGTGAGGGAGGGGAATCAAAAGGGAGAAAGAAAATACAACTAATTAGAAATTTTAGAAAACCGGAAGTTTGGGAGTTGGCAATAGATCATTTGAAGAGGGAAGGATTATTTTGGAAGTTAGCAATAAATTTAGATAAGTGAAGGTTAAGAAAAGATGATTAGCTTGTGAGGACCCCTATGAGATGATGGTCTGCATACGCATATTATCAGTCAATAGCTCTCATCCTAACAATCTCATCCTCAAACAGTACCTGATTCAGAAATGAATGAAAGATGGGCTGGATCCCGTCTTTGCAGTTGGAAAAAAGGACAGAGAGGGATATGTACCCTCAGATGATGGTAACCAGGACAGAGAGGGGACCCAAAATTAGGCCATAGGCAGGGTCTTCTCCATGGAGAAGAGAAGATGTGATGGAATGGTGAAAAGGGATTTTGAGTATTTTAATGTCTCTCTGTGGGAAGAGAGATTACCTTGTTCATTATGTTTTGTGAAGCTGAACAAGGATCAAGGGCAGAAGTTTCAGGGAAGGAAAACTGAATGTCTGAAGATTGAATGCGTTCGTTCTGAGAATGAGCTTCCTGTCCCTGGAAGTATTTAAGCACACACACTGGGAAGATAAGTGCTCAGCGGGGATTTTGTCGCGGAGAGAGATGCATTAGGTGGTCATTACACTAATGGACGCTTCCTATCTCTCCAAGCCCTTAGAGATTCTGTTTCCATCTCAACAGGCTTCTCTGTACGGAAAAAAAAACTCAATTTCTTTTGCCCCTATCCAATAATCTTGACTAGAATGTAAGTTCTACAAGGAGCAGGATTCTTACTGTTTTTATCTATAGATACACCTGCTGGGACTACGGATGCTGAATAAATACTCACTGAGTGAACGAATAAACAAAAGAAACATGATATTCTATTTTAGGCCAGATGAATTTTCTAAGCTGGACTCAGATCTGGACAACTGGTGTAATAATCTAGTCTCTGACCGACAGCTACAAGTCCAGGTTGAGTGTCTGTAAGAATATTCACTAGATCGGAGTTTGATAAATGTGACCTGTGGACCACTTGTTCAGCAACCTGGTAAAATGCAGATTCCTGGGGCCCCTGAAGAGCCCCCGAAGGCCATTTCCTAAAGGAGGGGCCTGGGAATGGTCTGATTTTTAACAAGCTCCCCAGGTCATTTATGACTCTAAATTGGAGAACCACACAGCTAAGTATAGTTAACACTCCAAATGTGTTCCCTTGGAATGTCACAGGGTAAAGACACCAATTTTACAAGACAGAACTCTTCAACTTACTGTAAGAATTCAACATTTTTTGCTTGTCAGACTCCTGATTCCACGAGTCACTCTCATCCTCTGAGACTGTCCCCCACAATTCCAGATTCTGCAGTTAAAATCTCCCGTAAATGTTCTAAAAGTGAAGGATTAGCTATTTCTGTATCAGCTGACTCAGAGCCTGAGATCTAAGTCTCCAAAACTGTCCCTCAGATGGGCATTAAATTAACACTGTTTTTAATCCTCAACAGAATTAGCACACAGTCTTCTCTGACTGGTTACAGCACACCCCACACCTATAACATTTTGGATTATTTAAAATTTGGGAACCCACCCACCTCTCTGCCAGACCTTGAAATTCAATTTGCCTTTTTTTTTTTTTGCGTTAGTGGAGATTTTAATACCAAAGTTGGAGCTGGTGCCAGCTTTCCAGAAGCCCAGCTAGGGCTACAGACACAGCAGGGAGAGACTGAAACTGGCTCACCAGAAGGTTCTGTTTGGCCAGCACAGTGCTTTTTAAAAGTATTTTTGAATATGAATGCTTTTAGACACTGTAGGTGGCCAGGGACCCTCCCTGCTGTCTGCCTCCTGGCTCTTCTTGCTCATTTAAGCAGGCATTTGAGTTCTCAGCCCCTGATCTCAGTGGGAGTGTTAGGTTTGTTCTCTGGATTTCTCTTGATCATAAAGGGTAAGGTTTCCGAGTTCTGCCTTTATGTCAGCAGCACTACCTTTGTGACATAGAATCGTAGGCCCCTGGAATGGCTCCTTTAAAATCACTTTAAAATGTAGTGTATACATCCAATGGAATATTATTCAGCCATAAAAAGGAAGGAAACACTGATGCATGGTACAATGTGGGTGAATCTAGAAAACATTATGCTAAGTAAAAGAAGCCAGACACTAAAGGTCACATCTATATGAACTACCCAAAATAGGTAAATTTCTAGAGACAGAAAGCACATTGGTGGCGGCCCGGGGCTCGGGGAATGAGGAACAATTGCTTAATGGCTACAGGTTTCCTCTTGGGGTGATGAAAGTGTCTTGGAACTAGACAGACGTGGTGGTTGCTCAGAATTGTGAATATACTAAAAGCTACTGAATTAGTCACTTTAAAATGGTTAATTTTATGTTACGTGAATATTACCTCTATTTAAAAAAATTCCCTGCCCCACTCCCCCATCACTAGGGGGACCGCTTCTGTAGACCACGGGGCGCTCTTCTCTTCACTTGTTCCTAATGGTTCCAATCTCAGCAGAAGAGTGAGCCCTTCTGTTGAATCTGACACGGAATAATCATCAACATGTAATAAACGGTATCACTATCATAGTCATCTTGGGCACTGGGAAGTCTTTACCATCTATGAGGCAATCTATGGGTTATTTAATGTAACAGTCTGAGGGGGTTCAAATCCTGGTTACATCACTTACTAGCTGCATCGTCTGGAGCCAAGTCAGTGACCTTTCTGTGCCTTAGTTTTCCCATCTAGAAGGTGGGGATGATTACAGTAGCTGCCTTAATTTTGTTGTGTGGATTAATGAGTTAATACATGCAGGGCACTGAGGACAGCGTCCGCCAAGAGCAGGCACCATGTAAGTGCCTGTTGTTGCTGTTACATATCTCCCTTCCTGTACGCAAAGCCCCCTGTCTGCCAGGGTGTAGTGTGGGTGAGGGAAGGGACTAATGGAGACACCTGAACGGGGCGGGTGTTATTTCCTCTCCTGCTCCCGGAGCCGGGGCCTGGTGAGCGGGAGCCATGCCGCACGCGGAGGGCTGGCTGGGCAGGTGGAGTCACTGAGCGGAAGCCTGGCTTGGCTGCCAGCGCACCCTTCTGGAAGGCTGGGCTTGTGCCCAGGGACGAGGACACCACGGGAGAAGTGGAAAAGACCAGTTTGCCTGGAGCTGACATGATCAAGTGG